CCTCTGCTATGACCTCCTATATTCCTCCATCATTAATATCTGGTTTGTGTTACAGAGCTGCAGTACTTCTGAGCACAAACACAGTCCCACTCACATGACCACTGCCTTGAGGTGTGTTTGCAGTGGAACTTCCTGTAGAATAATTACCATAGTAACCTATAGGTGCAACAAGAGAGAAACATAACGACCAAATTCAGAATAATGAGTTAAACAAATGAAAGCACACTGAAACGTTAAACTTGATAATAAAAGGACTGTGGAATTTTTAAGATTTATTTTAAAAAATGCATCATAATAGAGTGAACAGGTTTACCCGACGTAACACTGATCACAGTCTGTGTCTCTGGGCTGGCTGTACTGGATGGTGATGCAGTCATGTTATGAATATCTGTTAGAAAGCATGTGTCACATATGATGTCGCATGTGATCATGTGAAAAGAAGAAAAAAAGCCACAGTCAACATCACAGGACACACATTTGGACATGCGGGCAGGAAGAAAAAAAACTGCAATATTTACTTCAGAAGCAAAAAAAGGTCTGTTGTACTTACTCTGCATAGTCAAGGTAACTTGGGTTTTCAGATCATTAAATGGTCCTGGTATTTCCACACGACAGCCGTATATCCCAGAATCTCCCATCTCAGCACTGATGATGGTCAGAGATACGTCACCCTGTTTCTGGTCACCGATTAACTGATACCTGTGTGATTTTCTCCATAGAACTCCATATAATCCAACTGTTGTGAAGATTTCCTTGTCACAGCCAAATTGAGGTATTTCACCTCTCCCCCAGCACACATGAAGTCCCCCGTAATACCGTGCATCGTAGGAGCACGGCAGGGTCACGTTATACCCAACAAATCCAGTGATCATCTTAGAGCTCACAGCAACTGGGAGAGAAAACAGCACAGAAACGGCAAACACTGATAAACTGAAGGGGAAGCATCATATTTAATCTGCAGGCTTTACAGTAAATATTGCAAAACGGATTAAATGTAAAACTTACAGACCTATGACACCTTACCCTGTTTGTTGATTGTTAGATGGTCACAAGCGGTATAATATTCCCATCAAAACCTTGGTATTATGTCAAATTTAAGGCTAAAATAACCTTTGTTTCATCCTATAACGGATTTGCAATAAAATATTAGAGAAACAGTGAACCTGATGATTCTAATAAGCACTTACCTGGCATAATGTGAAGCAGAATTACCAATAATGCCGGCATACAGTGGCCATGCACTGTCATTGTATAACAGTGACACACGGACTGTGTCCAGTGTGCACAGTGAGCGTCTCTCAAAGCTCAAAAACATCGATGGCTTCCTTTTATCGGGGTCTGCCGCTGTAACGTCACCTTCCAGGCAGGAGATTCTCATACTTCTGCATTTTTCAGTTTTCAGTTCCACATTCAGGACTGTGCGATCTGATGTACTGGCATTTGAAGCAGTTAGTTATACTGTCTAATGAACAGANTCATTAATATCTGGTTTGTGTTACAGAGCTGCAGTACTTCTGAGCACAAACACAGTCCCACTCACATGACCGCTGCCTTGTGGTGTGTTTGCAGTCGAACTTCCTGTAGAATAATTACCATAGTAACCTATAGGTGCAACAAGAGAAAAACATAACGACCAAATTCAGAATAATGAGTTAAACAAATGAAAGCACACTGAAACGTTAAACTCGATAATAAAAGAACTGTGGAATTTTTAAGATTTATTTTAAAAAATGCATCATAATGGAGTGAACAGGTTTACCCTGCGTAACACTGATCGCAGTCTGTGTCTCAGGGCTGGCTGTACTGGATGGTGACGCAGTCGTGTTATGAATATCTGTTAGAAAGCATGTGCCACATATGATGTCGCAAGTGATCATGTAAAAGGAAGAAAAAAAAACACAGTGACCATCACAGGACACACATTTGGACATGTGGGCAGAAAGAAAAAAAACTACGATATTTACTTCAGAAGCAAAAAAGGGTCTGTTGTACTTACTCTGTATAGTCAAGGTAACTTTGTTTTTCAGATCATTAAATAGTCCTGGTATTTCCACACGACAGCCGTATATCCCAGAATCTCCCATCTCAGCATCGATGATGGTCAGAGATACGTCACCCTGATTCAGGTCACCGATTAACTGATACCTGTGTGATGTTCTCCGTGTCACTTTAAATCCATCTGTCGCGATGATTTCATTGTTACAGCCGCCAGTAAGGGGTATTTCACTTCTCCCCCAGCACACATAAATCCCCCTGTAATACGCATCGTAGGAGCACGGCAGGGTCACGTTATACCCAACAAATCCAGTGATCATCTCAGAGCTCTCAGCAACTTGGAGAGAAAACAGCACAGAAACATTTTGATAAACTGAGAGGCGATGCATCATGATTAATGATTAATCTGCAGGCTTTACAGTAAATATTGCAAAACGGATTAAATGTAATACTTACGGACCTATATGACACTTTTCCCTGTTTGTTGATTATAGATGGTCACAAACGGTATAATATTCCCGTTAAACCTCAGTGTTATGTCATACTTAAGCCTAGAATAACCTTTTAGTTATCAAGTAAAGTTTCTTAAACACAAATTAATTGGTTTAAATAATCAAATTGCAATAAAACATTAGACAAACAGTGTACCTGATGATTCTAATAAGCACTTACCTGGCATAATGTGAATCAGAATTAACAATAATGCCGGCATACAGTGGCCATGCACTGCCATTGTATAACAGTGACACCCGGACTGTGTCCAGTGTGCACAGTGAGCGTCTCTCAAAGCTCTAAAACATCGACGGCTTCCTTTTATCGGGGTCTGCCGCTGTAATGTCGCCTTCCAGAGAGGAGATTCTCATACTTCTGCATTTTTCTTTTCAGTTCCGCATTCAGGACCGTTCGAAGCAGTTAATTGTACTGCCGAATGAACAGACAAGGAAATTAAAGCTCTGTGACTACCCCCCCCCCCCTCCCAAAAAAAAACAAACTAACTAATGAACAGAAAAGGAACTGTAAGGAAATGCTGCAAAACCACAGCTGGGGGGGGGATGCAGCCCAACCAAAAATAACCGTAACACTTCAAGTCTCAGCAAATTAGTACTTTTAATACCTAAGATTCTTTGTTACATATATATCAATACAAGCATACCATGTACTGAAATGTAGACTTAGTCACTCCTGTGCACAGATATAGAAGATACACAGGGTACAAATGTTTAAGTAATAGTATACATTCCTATACAGTTTGCATATACATTTTAAGCACAGTATATACCTGTATATTAAAGTGCAGTTGTGTTTGTTTACCGAACAATAGTTCTCATGAAATTGTGTGTCAGCGAATATAGTTCATACTAGAAGCTGAGAGGCAGTGCATACTCTATGTCATCTAGCATGTGTACGGATCTCCTAAATCTCCCCGTCATGCCGGCTCGCGCCGAGCTCTCAGTGGTGTGAAGGGGGGGGGGGCGGTGGTGAGTCACGGGGACCCCAACCGTTCATTCAGATCGAAACTTTAGCACGGATGAGGCTGCCGATGACCTTCAAGATTTGAGAATCTTTATTGTCATGTTATCATATAAAGGGAAATGCGCACATACATTAGTGTTAGAACAAGCGCGCGCTCGTCATTCATACTCCTGTCAATCATACATCCAACATGCAAACAACAAAATGTTTAGAATAAATATGCTATATCAACACCAGTCTGTGTGCGTGCATACTGCAGCCAAACATAACTCTGCCGCTAGATGGCAGCGTCTACCACGCCCGGGGACAGACTGCCTGTATCTCGGCATTCATTGGAAGCGCAGCTCAGCCGCATTTGTGCCTAATTGACTCTTTGACAGTTTTATGTTTGTCACGTACTATTTGACTTACTTTTGTGCCACTTCGGACAAAAGTGTTAACGAAAAAATAAATATGAATGTTAGCAAGGACAGACTAGGTTACAGAGAGTCATTATCAAGGAGTAAATCTGATGTGTTTTCCTCAGTTTATTAGAAAGAGGCCTCTTGCATTTCACTTTAGCACTTCCATAACGCCATTATTCCACCTCACTTCAGATACATGGGTGTATACAACAGAGAAAGTGAAAAGCAGTGATTCACGTTTGCAGTGCATTCAGAAAGTATTCAGACCCCTTTCAATTTTCAACCATTTGTAATGTTGTAGCTTCATGCTAAAATTATGTAAGTATATTTTTGTTCCCCATGAATCTACACTCAGTATCCCATACTGACAGCACAAACATGGGATTATAGAATTTCCTGCAATTTATTAAAAAAGAAAAACTGAAATATCAAATGGACGTAAGTATTCAGACCCTTTGCTGTGACACTGACATATTTAACTCAGGTGCCGTCCATTTCTCTTGATCATCTTTGAGATGGTTTTACACCTTGACTGGAGTCCAGCTGTGTTAAATAAAACTGATTGGACATGATTTGGAAAGACACACACCTATTTATAAAAGGCCTCACAGCTCACAGTGCATATCAGAGCACAAACTAAGCCCTGAGGTCGAAGGAACTGCCCAAAGAGCTCAGAGATAGGATTGTGGCAAGGCACAGATCTGGACAAGGCTGCAAAAAAAATTCTGCTGCAGTTAATGTTCCCAAAAGCACAGTGGCCTCCATAATCTTTAAATGGAAGAAGTTTGGGACAATCAGGACTCTTCCTTGAGCTGGTCGCCCGGCCAACCTGAGCAATCGGGGGAGAAGATCCTTGGTGCGAGAGGTAACCAAGAACCCAAAGATCACTCTGGCTGAGCTCCAGAGATCCTTAGTGGAACTGGGAGAAAGTTCCAGAAGGACAACCATCACTGCAGCCCTTCACCAACCTGGGCTTTATGTCAGAGTGGCCAGATGGAAGCGTCTCCTCAGTGCAAGACCCATGGAAGCCTGCATAGAGTTTGCAAAGAAACATCTAAAGGACTCTAAGACTGTGAGAAATGAGATTCTCTGGTCTGATAAAACCAAGATTGAACTCTTAGGTCTTAATTCTAAGCGGTATGTGTGGAGACAATCAGGCACTGCTCATCACCGGCCCAATACCATCCCCACAGTGAAGCATGGAGGTGGCAGCATCGTGCTGTGGGGGTGTTTTACAGCTGCAGGCACTGGGCGACTGGTTGTAGTTGAAGGAAAGATGAATGCGGTAAAGTACAGAGGTATCCTGGATGAAAACCTAGTCCAGAGTGTTCAGGACCTCAGACTGGGCTGAAGGTTCACTTTCCAACACGACAATGACCCTAAACACAGCCAAAACAGCACAGGAGTGGCTTAGGACTAACTCTGTGAATGTCCTTCAACAGCCCAGCCGGAGCCCTGACTGAAATCCAACTGAACACCTCTGGAGAGACCTGAAAATGGCTGTACACCAACGTTCCCCATCAAACCTGACAGAGCTGCGGAGGATTTGCACAGAAGAGTGGCAGAAAATCCCCAAATCCCAGGTGTGAAAAACTCGTTGCATCATTCCCAAGAAGACTCATGGCTGTATTAGCTCACAAAGGTGCTTCTACTAACTACTGAGCAAAGGGTCTGAATACTTACATCCATATGATATTTCAGTTTTTCTTTTTTAATAAATTTGCAAAAATAATCTATAATTCCGTGTTTGTGCTGTCATTATGGGGTATGAGTGTAGATTCATGAGGAACAAAAATGAATTTACATAATTTTAGCATGAAGCTACAACATTAGAAATGGTAGAAAATTGAAAGGCGTCTGAATACTTTCTGACAGTAAAGGCAGGATTCACAGCAGCTAAGGTATCTTAGTTCATATACGCTGCCCGGCCAAAGAAAAAGTCGCCATTTGAATTTATATCAGCAGATACTTAAGAGCCAATGATTGGATCATTATTGCAGCTCAGCTACGTTATGCAGCAGTAAAGTAAAGTCAGCTGAGTACCTGAATCTACTGGCCAGGTTACACCTCCATCCATCATCAATGGATGTTTTTCTTCCCTGTTGGCATGAGCATATTCCAGGACAAGAATGCCAACATTCAATGGGTTCAAACAGAGTTGTGACCTTAACCTCATTGAAGGTCTCTAGGATGTGCTGAAGGAGGCTTTATGGAGGTTCAACTCACTTGTCAACACAGAATCTCGGTGAGAAATTAATGCAAATCTGGATGAAAATAAAGGGTGAGATGTTGCATAAGCCTGTGGAAACAATGTCATGACAAATGTGCGCCATAGTCAAAGCTAAAGGCGTCCAACGATAAATTCAAACGGCGACTTGTTTTTTGGCCGGGCAGTGTATCTTCTTCTTGTCCATCCGTCTGCTGTGGAACCCCATGTGGGCCCCCACATTCCCATAATGCACTGAGACATCTGCCTGATGTTCCCTGGAGGGGAAGACCAGAGACCCAGAGGTGAACTGAGACCAGCTTACTTTTTACATGATTATTCACTTTTCCCAGTGATCAATACATACATAATTTCAAAAATACATATTTAAAATTCTGGTGAAAATAAAAAGATGCCCCAGTGTAACTGAAGCCATCTCATCTCGTCACTGCCGCCGCAGTGCCTGGACCTGCCAAGGTGGCATTAAGGACGGTATTCACAGTCGCCAAAGTCCCTTAGTTCATATACGTTCTCTATGGTCGTCCCACTGGGGTGGGACCCAATGTGGGCGTCAATGTTCCCATAATGCACTGAGACATCTGCCTGATGTTCCCTGGAAGAGAAGACCAGAGACCAAGAGATTAATTGAGATTGGCTTACTTTTTATAATTCGCTCTCCCAACTGAACATTACATGTAATTTCAAAAATACATATTTAAAATTCAGAAGAGGGCAAGAAATTAATGTTATAGAGATTTCAAGAGATGGGCATTAAAAGGTCACATGCATAGACCTCAAATGTCAAGGTGCCGACCTTCTTCACTGAGCCACTATACAAACCTGAGGTCACCAGCTCCACTTACTAACTGGGCAGCTTCTTTCCCAGCAGTCATTAAATACAGCAGCTCAGTATGGTACTTACACTGCAGCCAGTGTCCTCGCTTCTCTCTGCCGTTGTCCTTTAAAAATGAATAAAGATAAATTACATGTGATACATTGTATTCCTTGTACCATTACTCCTCATATTGGTCTACAGTGGGGTAAGGAACCCTGATCCTGGAGAGCCGGTTTACAGCAGGTTTTCCATCCTACCTGATGAGTTACTGTCTGCCTGAGATCAGGTGTGATTCATCAGAGACCAGGTAGGATGGAAAACCTGCTGGATTTCAGAACTCCAGGATCAGGGTTGCCCATCCCTGCTCTACAGGCTTCAGTTGACCAGCTTACGTTTGCGTAACCAGAGACCTGTCACCAGGACCAGCAGCAGCAACAGCAGAATCACCACTGCAATGACGAGGAAGGATCTGTCTGCCTGCAAAGACAAAACAGCTTTTTCATTCCTACACACTGCAGGCACAGACCTGTACATCAGCACAGTCCCAGTGAAATAACAGAATACCACACAGACTCCCTGTCGGGGGTCAGCTCTGACCCCTCACATAGACGGCCCTCGGATTATGTCAGTGGAATCTGTGGAGCTTCCACATAAACCTCTGCTATGACCTCCTATATTCCTCCATCATTAATATCTGGTTTGTGTTACAGAGCTGCAGTACTTCTGAGCACAAACACAGTCCCACTCACATGACCGCTGCCTTGAGGTGTGTTTGCAGTCGAACTTCCTGTAGAATAACTACTTTCATGACCTATAGGTGCAACGACATGAAAACATAACGATCAAATTCAGAATAATGAGTTAAGCAAATGAAAGCACACTGAAACGTTAAACTTAATAAAAAAGACTGTGGAATTTTTCAGATTTATTTTAAAAAAATGCATTATAATGGAGTGAACAGCTTTACCCGGTGTAAGACTGATCGCAGTCTGTGTCTCTGGGCTGGCTGTACCAGATGGTGATGCAGTGATCTTATGAATATCTGTTAGAAAGCATGTGTCACGTATGATGTTACATGTGAACGTGTGAATGCCAGACAGAACAACCGCACCGTCAGCATCACAGGACACACATTTAGACATGTGCACAGAAAGAAAAAGAAACTATAATATTTCCTTCAGAAGCAAAAAAAAAAAGGTCTGTTGTACTTACTCTTTATAGTCAAGGTAACTTGGTTTTTCAGATCATTAAACCATCCTGGTATTTTCACACGACAGCCGTATATCCCAGAATCTCCCATCTCAGCACTGATGATGGTCAGAGATACGTCACCCTGATTCAGGTCACCGATTAACTGATACCTGGGTGATGTTCTCCGTGTCACTTTAAATCCATCTGTCGCGATGATTTCATCATTACAGGTGAAAACAGCTATTTCACCTCTCTCCCAGCATACAGCAACTCTCCCGTACTTGCGTGTATCGTAGGAGCACGGCAGGGTCACGTTATCCCCAGCAAATCCAGTGATCATCTTAGAGCTCTCAGCAACTGGGAGAGAAAACAGCACAGAAACGGCAAACACTGACAAACTGAGGGGCGACGCGTCATGATTAATCTGCAGGCTTTACAGTAAATATTGCAAAACGGATTAAATGTGAAATTTACAGGCCTATGACACGTACTTATCCTTTTTTGTTGATCATGTTAGATGGTCACAAACGGTATAATATTCACATCAAAACCCCGGTATTATACCTAAAATAATCTTTGTTCCATCCTATAACGGTTTTTAAACATGAATTGGCTTAAACAATCAAATTACAATAAAATATTAGACAAACAGTGAC